CGCGTCTTTCCCCAGCCCGGCGGCGGCAGCCGGGCCGAAACCTGCGGCCCTCGGGCCTGGGCAGCGAGGAGGTCGGCGCCCAGCGGGCCGGGTCAGGACCGGGCCGGGCCGCGAGGTCACCAGCTCCCGCCTCGCTTCGGCTTCGCACCGCTGGAGAGCAGAGCGATGTCACTTGGAGCCCCGCCTGGGTGGTAACAAGACCCTGGCCAGTCACCCCTGCAGCCCAGACTAACTTCTTTCAACAGCCTCTGATGGTAATTACAGTAATCGAAGCTGCCATATATCTTTAGGCAATTATGACACACAAAAAGCCGCGAGGGGACCCCCTGGAGAGGGAAGTTAAGAACGGTTTTCCAGCCTCAGGAAACTCTGGCTCGCCTCACGTCGGAGCTCGCTCCGCTTGCTAAATGAGAGGAGCTTTGCAACGGGGTCAACCAGCTTGTCTCGTGACCCTAAGTCACCTTAACGTGGCTGAGCGGTAGAGTCGGGGACGCAGACTTACTCTCTCCCGGAATTCTCGCGTCCCTGCTTCCTGCGCCCCGCCCTAGCCCGCTGGCTGCTCTAATCAGCCCCGGGACCCGGGGCTTGGAGGTGTGCGGAGGGGCAGGGCCGACCTGCAGCGGCCGCGGCCCAGGGGTGTGGGGGGAAGCGATGATGCGGGAGTCGGGCTCTGAAGGGTCACCCACCCCGCACTCGTCTTCTCTCCACCCCCTTCGGATCCTCCAGACATGTGTCCTTGGCCTCTTGTCCGGATGGGAATCTTGGGGGGTGGTGGGACACCGCTGCTCCTCCCACGCGCTCAACTTGGCATCAACAACGGTGCCTCGGGGAAGAGGACAGCTGGGACGACAGTATTGCTGGGACCCAAACACGGACCGCAGCGCGCCAGAGGATAGGAGCTCTGCAGAGGATGGCTGCAAAACCCGAAGTTTAAGGCTCCAGGAGTGCGGTGCAGCAAGCAGAGCTCGCGCCATCGGCTCCTGGCCTGCTGTGAGTTCCCTTGGGCGCAGTGACAGGCCCGAAGGGGTGGAGAACAAGACCCACAGTGGCCTTTCCTGGCTCTCTCCAGCCCCTCCCTCCCCAGCAAACCTCCCCTCCCGCCCTGCGGGAGAGGGGGCGCCGAGGCGGTGGCCGCCGCGCCGCGCGCCTCTCCGCCAGCCTTTGTCGCCGTCCGAATTCCCATGCTACTCTTTTTGACGGGTCACTGGTGGCTCTATAGGCAGGTGCTGCGGCGGGGTTGTAATTACCCCGACCAAGCCTGGTCGTTACAGAACAACCCCCTCCCGCCCCGCAATCCCGGTCCCCCGCTAGGCCCTCCCCCCACCTGAGGCCAAGGCTCGGCCCGGGATGCGAACCCGCCAGACGCTTGAGATTCCAGGAACAAGTTTCTGCCTCTGCCGACTCCAGGCATCGCGCCCTCACCTCTCCTTCTCCTTACACCCAGTTCTCTCTTGCCTTTCTTTCCCCATCCCACCCTAATGGGGCTCCCTGACCTAAGTGTCCTCTGACTGAAGGAGACAGGCTGCCTGGGCCAAACTAGAGGCCTGCAGACCACTAGGGACAGAAAGTCAAGTGTTAATAAGTTAATTGTTATGAACTATTATTTTTATTAGGGTGTTAATTACATTAAGGCTTATTTAATACTCCCTTTGTTTTGCATGAGGAAGGATTTCTAAGTCTCTATAAAGGGCCTCAGGCACTTGTTGGACTCTTGAACTTTAGAGAAAAACAGTATCTCCCTTTCTGAATTTTCCAGTATTACCCTCTCTCCAACAGGCCTTGCTATGCCAGGCTTGAGGGAATTCCAGTGGGTACAGTAGGGTAAGAGGAAACGGTGTAGAGAAATCAATGAGATCCTTATAACAAAATCAGCCTCTGCCAGGGAAAGACGGGGAGAGACCCACCCCAGAGACTCACATGGGACCCAGTGTAAGGAGGTCTTTCAGGAAGGACTTGGGGACCAGAGGAGAAGGGATAGCTGTCCCAAGCTAACCTGTCAGAGAATAGACAGCTTCACTCTATCCAGCCTGGTGCTAGTTACTTTGCAAGAAAATAATTTTTTCCTGAAGGAAATAATTTCTCAAAAGCGATGCACCAAGCATTTTTTAATAGGTAAAGAGAAAGTTGGGCAATTACCACTACCCTTATTATCATTAATAATCTGAATATTAGCATTACAATAATAATCCTAATAATAACAACCGCCCTGCGGAGCTCAGAGAAAACTCGATTGCCTTCCAGCTGCCATCCGTGGTTCCAGCCGTGTTTGTTTTTCTTCTTTTCACTTTTACATTTCAAGTTTGTCTCCTCGCGCAATCACTAACAACTTTCTCTGTTAAATCAAGAGCGGAGGAGAAGGCGGCCAAACTTTCCGCAGAGCAGAAAGCAGCGGCGGGCCGTGCTGCTGCCCGGGCCTGCTGTAATCTTTTATTCCAAAATGGGTCTTGGCGATTAGAGGAGACCCAAATACATGTAGCGGTGCATGAATAATGCTCATTGTAGGAAACTGACACTTGCTCAAGGAAAAAAAGTTTGGCTATAAAATCACTTCATTATTTGCTTTTACCGCAGCTTCGGTGCTAATCCCTTCAGAGGTCAGATTGCTTAGCATCTCTCTCTCCCCGCTCCTCTTTCCTCCCTCTTCTCCGCCCTCCTCTCCCTCTCTCCCCTTCCCCCCTTGCTGCCTTCCCTGCGATTTCAGGCCGCATTTTAGACATCCCCTGCAAAGTGTGTGGCGACCGCAGCTCGGGGAAACACTACGGGGTCTACGCCTGCGACGGCTGCTCGGGGTTTTTCAAACGGAGTATCCGAAGGAATAGGACCTATGTCTGCAAATCTGGAAACCAGGTACCTCGGCCGGGGCTACATTGGCGGGCTCTCTCCTCTGCTGCCTCCCCCTCCTTTGTTTATGCCAAGGCCTCGGCAGAGTTTCTACACTATTGCAGGGAGATCCCGCTCAGACCTCTCCTTTCCTCTGCTTCAACTCTTGGGGGTGGGGGGCCCTTTGGCTCAGGAAAGGCAGGAAAAGATAAAGGAAGGGATGAGTTTGCCCTAAGAAGTCTGAAATCCCAGAACCTTCCTACTCCCTTCCCCCTCTTTAATCCTCTAACAGATTTTGACACTAAGTAAGGCCAACACCCAGGCTAAAGAATCAGACCTAGGGGACCTAAGGAACTTTAGAATCTAAACCACAAGCAGCAAGCAGGAGAAAAGGCTATGTTATATCACCTGTCTAGCCCCCCCCCCCACATCAATTGGGTCTTCCATTCCTAGCAACACCCAAGCTCAGTCCATTGACCACTGCCTAGGATGGCCCAAGTCCAAGGTATCACTACCTTGATACTGAGTCCCAAAGTGAGCCCTGGCCACTAGGAAGAGAGAGGATGTGCTCTGTGAGGGGCTGTTCCCTTTCAACTCCAGAGGAGAGTTGCTCTGGAAGTGGGCAGTGGGGCTCTAGCACCATGGGACTTTAGCTGGACCTTGTCAAAAAGGGAAGGGTGAAGAAGAGAAGGTTTGAAAGGACAGTGCAACTGGGTCCTTCTCCAAGGTTCCTAAATCTCCTTCCTTCTCTGCTAGATGCGTGTGGATAGTTGTGCTTTGGTCTGGAGCTTGCAGTACTGTCTCAAAGACACAGGGAAGTCAGGGCATGGGCTCCATGTGAGCCACAGCTTCCAGAAAGAGCAAGCAAAACCTCCTGACTCACCTCCAGCTCAGTAACAGGCTTATTTCGACCCTGGAGATCAGCCTTCTGCTTCCACATATTGTCCTCTCCTTGACCAGACACAGGCCTTCAACACAGAGACCTCTTCTTGCACTCTTGAAAAGATCCCTAAGAATGCATTAGGCAGGAGTCATCATTTGGTAGCCAAATGTTACATTTACACTTTCACTAATTTAGATGTATCTCTCTCTCTCTCTCTCACACACACACACACACACATACACGCACACTTCTTGCCTACTGCTAGTGAATTCTTCTGATATTTTTTTCTGAAGCCGTGTCTGTTCATATCAATTTTAGGTAGATTAGAATTGACAGCAAAAACAAGAAGATATTTGCATTTGGATAAAGCATTATTTTGAACTCTCCATCTCTGTAACCTGTTTAATTGGGTATTGAGATTCATATCAGTTTCTAGTTTCCCCATATGGACACATTACATTATACTAGCACTAGTATCCCAATAGTGTCACAGGATTGTGGAATCACTGCAGTCATCAGATTTCAATGGGCATCTACTTAGATTATCTCTTACGCAATGCACAGCTTTGAGGAATCAAAATCTCAAGTATTATGCTTGATATTTTAGAAGGGGATGGCTAACCAATTCAAACATATTGGTATCAGTGCAAGTACTTGTAAACGAAAGATAATAGATTCATCCGGTCTGGTGCTCCTCTTTTTCTAAAGAGAGTAGATGGATGGAACTGAGGCGCTCATCCTTCTCTCAGGCACCAGTTATCTGTATACATTTGATCTGATTTGAAGACACACTTAAGAACAAGTAAAGGCTTCCATTTGGCATTTGCATGTTTATCAGAATACGAAGAAGATACCATTGAGGATAGACTATGAAGTAAGTTTTTTAAACGTCTTCTTACATGGACCATCAAAGATACCGTGAAAAAAAAATCACTTAAGTACCAGAAATTATTTCTTTTCTCTCTTTTATTTTAAGATTAGCTACATAACTTTCCAATTCATTGACAGTAACGAGTATATTTAGAAAATGTTAAACTCTGACACACTTTTAATTTAAATAAATCAATATTTTTAAATTGGAGGGCTATGATTTCATGAAAGTGCATTCTAACACGCTATTTTCCCCCAAGAAATATTTGAGGGAAAAGTACACTTGCTTCAACCTCAGTGTATATAAATTTCTGAGCTTAGGAAGAAAAACAAAAACAAAAACAAAAAAATTCTTCTAACTTGTTCTCTTCCCACTATTTTTGTAACAATGGTGATAACTAAATACAAGAGCACATCACACTTATTTTCTGTATATTAAAATATTATTCACATAAAACTCTTTATATATCTATGTATATGTTCCCTCAGTAATTACACCTAACACTGCCATCAACTCCAAAGGAAACTTTATCTGTAGAGTGTTTTTTTTTAAGTTTATCTAATTTACCTCTTGGAAAAGAGAGAGCTCACACTCAACAGAGGCTCCCTATACTCTGCTCTCTGCTCCCCTCGCCCCTCTAACCAGCCAGGGTTATGGGCACATGCCTGGTTTTGTCTCAGTTCTTGACATCCAGGACCCAAACTTCATTCTTTCATGTGGCTTCAGTCTTGTACAGCGGTGCCACATCACCTACACCACCACAACTGGGACTAGATTCCTTTTTTTAGTGGACATTCTCTCTTTACCCCAGAAAACTGCATTAGGCAAAACATTTTTCTCACATGTTTCATAACTTTTTCTAAAGAAGTGACAATCCTTTCTTCAGTTTTTTGGCCAATACTCTGTTCATTTTATTATTTGTCAGATAGTCCATCAGATTATCTCGGTCATATTTAAATAATGGGCATTTCTAGATTTTGCCCAGGCCTCAGGCTCCTCCTTCTCGCCCTCACCTTTTGTAGACCTTGCCCTCCTAACCACTCTGGTGTCTCCCTCACTTTCTGGGAATGGTTGTGTTTCCATGAATCTGCAGTAAGGCTAGTTTCAAAGACAATTCCCAACTTGCTGGTTGTAAGAATGCAAAAGTAAGGTAACAGGAGCGTGAGGAATAAATGGAAGATATGTGTAGCTGACGGATTAGTGGGCTCAGAGTGACAGAGTAGAATCCAGATCCGAAAGCGAAAAGAGCAGCTGGCGGGAAGGGGGCGTGGCGTGGCGTGGATCCGGACCCGCAAGCCTGTTTCTAATCCAGTACACAGGCCTCTTTCTCTTAGGCCAGGTCGCTGTCTTCGGTCCTGAAAAGTCTCGTCCCTGCTCCACCCGTCTGCGAGTAGCGGAAGTTCCTCTGCCTGGCTTCTCCCCTCAGGCCCGCGGCGCCTGCCCAACCCGGCGCTCAGATCCCTCACCTGTTCGGGGGACTTTTCTTTCCTTGTCCTACTCCACGGGATCGGGGCTGGCCCTCTCGCAATGGTCTGAAGAATCCCAGCCCCTTCTCTGTAGGGTCCTGCTCGCGCCCCAGGCCCTCGAGTTTCCGAAGCCTAGGCTCACCACCTCGGGTCTGCGGCTGGGGGGGGGTCCCGCCCCACC